GAGAGAGGGAGAAAGAGAGAGAGAGAGAGAGAGAGAGAGAAAGAGAGAGAGAGAGAGAGAGAGAGAGAGAGAGAGAGAGAGAGAGAGAGAGAGAGAGAGAGAGAGAGAGAGAGAGAGAGAGAGAGAGAGAGAAAGAGAGTTGATTTGATACCTATGGCTACGGCGAATGTAATCAAGCGTCACAGACCGCGATAGTGCGAGCCAGTGCCCCCTGAATTCCGGTCATGCGGCCACGACCGCTTGGCGTTTTGATCATTTCGCGTCATGCGTGCTCAAGCGATGACTCCGCCCAACTCTCTTATCCAGGTCATGTCGTGCCTGATCTTGACAACATTGCCCGTTTCCGCCGTTGCCTTCGGTGCTCTCTGGCCGTGTACGCGATGCGGCGGGAATTGTATTGATGCGGAGAAACCAGGCACTTTTGCATCGAGCGGGCAGTCTTCAGGCCAGTGGGGAGAGCGACGCTCGTACGGTTTGACCTCCCACCGTAAGTACCATAGGTCCTCCACCGCTCTGTGGGTGCTGGCGTTTTGCGTTGTATTTGAGCGCAAACCATGCGTTCGTGTTATAGAGGGAGCCGCCCCTTGTTCCTCGTAGTTCCCTAGACACTGCTTTAGCCAAAAGCTATGCACAAGTATTGCCGTGTTGTATCGCTTGTTTTACGGCTTACGCCTCCATCTCAGCTCCCACACGCTTCCCCTCGAAAGCACACGAACACGCGTTTTTGGCGCTCTTCAACCGCCATCGTCTTTTTTTTTCGCGCGTGCGGTTATCATGGTTTGGCGCGCGCGTTTGTGTTTCCAGCGGGTACCAGTTCAAGGTGGGCAGCTACATCCAGGTTAACTGTCCGGCCATCAGCGCGAAGGAATGGCACCCGTTCTCCATGTTTCCGGTGCCCGGCCCGCGTCCAAGGGGCGGCTTCTACGTCGAAGCGGTGCGAACATGCGCCCGCCCTACAGCTATTCTTGAAACGTGAAACGCCCCCACTCAAGAGCTTGCCAGTTGCGGTCTTCCATGGAATCAGACACATATAGGAACCAGAGCACCATTTTTTGCCGGGTCCAGACCCTTACACTAAACCTATCGAGCGGCCATGTGTGATATTTTAGGTAGCTCACAAGTGGAACTAAGAGCATCAGCCTCGGCCGAAGAACTATAGGCGCTTACGTGCGGGCGCTGTCTGTATGGGTTAACATCCATATTTTTTGTTTATTATTTTTTGGAAGCACCGACCGGGGCGGGGGGTTAGCAGCAATTTGGGCCGAGGGAGCCAATTGAGGGAGGAAACGGGAATTGGCATTCGGGTTGGAGGTGCCCTGACGCTTGTCAGTCGCCGCGCCAGTCCTTGTCCAGACGAAACAAGCAACACCGGACAACTTTGGACCTGTCTTTTCCCGTGTAATTTGTTTGTTTTTTTTCCCTTGATTTTGCCAGGTGGGTGACTGGACTCAGGAGCTTTTCCGACTCAGCCTGGACGACCCTTGCATGCCCCTGTGGATCACCGCCGCACAGCCCAGCGTCCTCGAGAAGAGCGTCTACTTCGAGAACGGTGAGGGTGCAGGATATCCGGCTTCTGAGAAGTAAAATGCCCACGTGGGTATCGGAAATGATACCAGCCCCGCACACGTTTTTTGTGGTTGTTTCATTCGTCCGTCGCGCGTTGAAATGCGTCTTTTCTGTTTGCATCAGCCGCGTTAATATATGGGTCAGCCTCAGTGTGCGTGTGTGTGTGCCTTTGGTATTTCCTCCGACCGCGTTAGCCGGCCGACCAATGTGTGTGTTTGGGTAGTTGTTATTGGAGGTGCTTGCGCTCGCTTGCGTACAACGCCCGACGCATGCCCGGCAGCCACTGCTGTTTGCCTCTTCATGTGTGTGTATCCCGTCGAGCTCTTGGCTTTTGCTGGCCTAGGGCCCACCGAGAAGGGCGGTGTTGACGCGCGTCGGGGTGTTGAAGAGGCGGTGACACTCTGATGCCACCCTCCACCCCCTCGCCTTCGTTTTTGCCTGCTATGCGTACGAACAGTCATCATGGTGTGCACAGGAGCAGGCATCACTCCAGCGATCTGTCTCGCCGACATGTAAGCTCTTCCACCCTTCTAGCCCCGAACGGATTGGAAAGGCCTTGTGTGCTGAGTTCAGCTTTCACGTGAGAGCCTCGTGGGCGGGTGTTGCGGGAGGGATCAACACGGTCGCCTTGTCCGATTCACCCTCCGTGTGCAGTAGCTGCGTGTTGTTGTCGCCTGCTCCATATCGTCCTCCCTTATGTTCGTGGGGCACTTGTCTGTGAGAGGGCTCTCTGTTTGTTGTGAAGCAGACACTTCAGTTGTTCGCGCCCGGGCTTGAGTCTGCAGCCTGCTGCTACTGCTGCTGCTACTGCTGCTGCTGCTGTCGTTGCTGTTGCTTTGGAACCAACACAAGAAATATCTCGCCACGGCATGAATACACGGCACGTCGGTCCGCTGCGTGAGAGATGGACCGTTTGGACCACTCGCAACCACGCGTCATCTCCGCGCGGAAGAGGCTGCCCGCTCTCCATTGCACGCTAAATGCTCTGCCGGATTCGTTCACGCCACCGCCCTCTCCCCAGGCTGTCGAAGAAGAAGAACGTGCACCTCATGTGGCTGTCCCGGGAGGCCGGCATGGTCGCGACGTTCGAGAAGCAGGTGCGGGCGTGCGCGCGGCACAGCACAGCGTGCATCGATGTGACAACAAGCGAAGAGTTAGGGATGCTGCTGCTGCTGCTGCTGCTGCTGCTGCTGCTGCTGCTGTCGCGCCCTCACGTCCGCGAGTTTTTCGTTGGCGGTGTTCCGCAGGAGGCCTCTTGCTCGGTAGCCGTTCTTCAGGCCGGTTCCCAACCGCGGGTTGCTCGTATTCACTACTCAAGAAGGTTTTTTGTGTCACCGCTTGGTCCAGTACTGTAGCGGCCGACGTGTCGAGTGTTTTTCTGGTCAAATTGCCACAGGGTTCGGCCTCGGCACAGGGATAATACCCTAGACGCGCTCGATTCAGTAGTTTACACAGGTTTACCTATGCAACCATACTGGATAACGTATAGAATCCGCGTGCCCCCTGTCTGGTCGTTCTGGGCTCTACCTTCGTGAGGACGGTTTCATCCTTGGGACAAACACCCTCCCTGATTGATTCTGTACATCGTCACGGGGAGCTGAGAAACATCGCGAGACCCTTGTGTACGTAGACAGTTTCACTTGACGTCACTCCGACCCTCCCCCCTATCCCTTACAGCTTCGCCGCGTGAATAGCACCGTGCACCTGACCGGCAAGCCCACCGAGAAGACCAAGCAGCGCCTCACCGACCTCCTCGCCCATTCCAAGGCGCCTCCTCCCGCCGAAACCGGCTCCTCCTGCTCGGACCCGACCGACTTGGAGGCCGGCTTCGCGGCGGCGAGGTCACGGAACGACGACTTCGACGACGGCGCGTACGGCGCCGGGGGTGACATGGAAGACCTCGGGGTGAGTAGCGCGGAACTGGAGTTGCTGTCTGGCCCGACAACGGAATCTCGACAGGTGGCCGACCGCGCGGAATGACATTGGGGGGGGAGGCAGGGATGCTGGGGATTTTTTTTTTGTGTTTTTTTTTTCTCGCGAGCAAGGCTTGGCCGCGTGCTGCGCTGCTGTATCTTGACGTCTTGCTCTTGACGCCCTACAGCAGTAGCCTGAAGAAGCGCTTTTCCGCAAACGCCGTGCGTGTCGTCACCTTTTCCCTTTTCGGCGATCGTGTCGAGCATGGGTTCCATTCCAATCCTTCTCGTGGCACAGCCTGTTCCGTTAACAAAGAGAGAGACAGCACCTTGTTCGAAGGGTAAAGCAAGAACGCTGAGCTCGAAAAGCCGTCGGCATGCACGTCGCGATGAACGCTTAGACGAGCGTTGAGGCGTGCGGAGGGGTACTATCTGCTAGACCCCCGGCTGGTACCTCCTTGACGGAGCATCGATTTGTTTTTTTTGTTGCCCCCTAGCTGAAGATAGGCAGGCGTCCAAGGGATGATGTGCCGATTAATTGTTCAGTGTGCAGTACCGTCGAGGACGAAATAACATTGTGGGTACAGCAAGCATTCAGAGGACGAAAATTGCTCGAGGGCAAAGAGTTGCCTTCGTCCGCGTGACACCGGCTCTTACCGTTACGTTTGTGTGACACGGCTCGGTGTTTCCCTCCGGCTCCGCGCAGGGCTGTTCGTCCAATCGTCGAAACCTCTCTTCCGCTGGCGGCGGGATGAGCGGCAACAGAAGCAGCGGCGGCGGCGGCGGCGGCGGCAAGCGATTGCGAAGAACGCCCTTCGGAAAACCAATCTCTCTCAACTTCGGGAGGCCCGACATCGAGAAATTCCTCACGGAGACCATCCGTGGCTCTTCCTCATCGCAGCACGAGAAGTGGGCCGCTACCGGTGGTCCGCCTGGAAAGATCGTCGGCGCCGCCGCGGTAGGAGACTCCTGGCAGCCGCAGCAGAACGCGTCCAAGCTGCGGGCATCGCCACCTCCATCGACAGGGAGGCATGCCGAGAAGGAGCGGGACTACTCAGACACCTCGTCGAGGGTGCGTACGGTGCGTACATCATGTCTTCTGGCAGAGGCTCGTTGGGACCTACGGTTTGCGCTCTTCAGGGCTGCGAAACGTTGGTGTTATTTTGTTCTTGCGTGTGTGTTGGGCAGGCTAGCTGGGTCTTTCTACTCGCGCTTGCCCGGGCTTCTCTCGGCAAAAGCGTGAACTCGGGACGGTGTGCATGCGTGGTCCCAAAAAAACACGCTACACGCAGCCACAACCGCGAAAGACATAGACTATGCCCTACCCCTTCGTGTGCTGCTCTCGTGATAATTCGGGTGAAGGGATGTATGAAAAGCTGTATATCCTGACCAGGCGTAGCACTTGCCCCAACCTGCCCCCCCCAACCGTTCGTGCGTGTTTGGTCGCGACCTTGTTCGGCTGCAGGATGTAAGAAAGAAGGTGCTGGCCAGGCTTAACACAAACCAACGGATCTCCAAGAGGGACCTAATGAGCGCCGACCTGTCGGTGGTCCCCGGCAAGGTGAAGTTATGTCGTGCTTGCCCCCAACGAACTCGTCACCCCCCCCAAAACCCTCCGTCCCGTGGCCCGCGACCCACATCTTCACCTTGTGTGGAAACCCGTTCCCGTTTCGTCGACAGAGTATGGGATACAACGGCGGGAAATCGATGCTTTGGCTGGTTGGAATATACCCGGGAGAAAGCGACAATGATCTATGCACGAGTATAGTTTGGGTGCACCGTCCTCGCCACCGTTGTTCCCAGGGTCCTCTACCCCATCATGATCGGCCGGGTTCCTCTGCCTACCGAATCGCTCTCCTCGCGCTGCGTTGCCCTTCGTACTACTCATCGGTCCACGTGTTGCATATCTCTGTAAACGAACGCGTTACCCATGGTATGACAATCGGCCTCCCGCTATGCATCTGTCTCTGCAAAGGAACGCGTCACCCTCGTCATGAAAATCGGTTTCACGTACATACGTATGTGTATTTGGACCTCTCTAGAGAAAGTTTCAAACCCGCGTTGTTCGTTTACGTCGTGCCGCCCCTCGCAAGCAGGCCTCCCCGCCGCGTGTTCCGCGATCCGGCCGAGTTACGGCAGCAGCGTCCGACATGGGAAGCCCCGACGGCGTTGGCGGCGGCGGCGGCGGTGCCTCCGGTGCCGCTTGGGACGCGCGTACGTGGCTTGTCCTGTACTGCGGAGCGAACGCCAAGGTCGAGGAGGTAAGGCCAACCTCCGCGACAGAAGTAGCCTCCACGGGGTTGTTGAGCTTTGTAGGGGTTACGGGTTAGGGTTTGGGTGAGAAGGGGTCGGGTAGGGTTTCGAACCCCCCCTCTCTGTTTATTTCACATTTAGTCGACTTGATGTCCGGGCCTCCGGGGCGTGGGATAAAGGCCGGGTATCCCTCTCGGCCGTGATTGTTTTGCGAAAATATGTTCGTACCCAACCCGGAAGCCGGGGGGGGGTATGTAAGAAACGCGATGCTCGGCGGCGGACAGCTTTAACGCCGCGGGGTGTGTGTGGTTCCATGGGAAAGTTGATGAGCTATTCGGAGGAAGGCCAGCAGGTCGATAAGGGCTACGCTCATTAAATGTTCACCCTCGTCCATCCCCTCGATAGCAGGTACCAAACAATACCTTGGTACCTTACCTCGTCCATCGAGATTGCCTGGGTTCTTGGGCACGACACACAGTGCTTTTGCCCCGGCGCGGGGCCTCTACCTGCCGTTTATTCTGCTCCCCATGGCTCGACTTGCTGATGTCCTTGGTCGAAGCGTCCAATCGCGAGTGGCCTGAGACGTGGGCTCTCCGTGATAGCTGCAGACTCACCATACGAGGGCCGCCGCATTTTGACATGTTCTCTCACCGAAAGGTTCGGTGTTCCGCTGCAGATCTCTAGCGGTGGTGACAACAGAGGTGCGTCCTCTCATGAACCAAAAACTCGTGCCGTTTGGTGAGAGGTGTGTGGAGCGATGCCACCAAGGGCTCTCACGCACATGCAGCGGGGAGCCCGTCTGTCGAGGCCCTGGTCGATGGGAACGGTGTCAACGATGGCGACGCACGGGGAAACATGCGCGGCCATGGCGTCGAAAGCGCGTCTACTCTCTCTCGTTGTCCGCGATACCGTATGGCAGCAAGGTGCATTTCCTACGTAGTACGTCCAACGTTTTTCCACCGTTCACTGCTACGGATTATACCCTACAGAGTATACCGCCCCCCCTTTGCTCACAAGCCCCGTTCCCTCCTCCCGTGTCGGTTCCTGCGCATGGGACCGCCTGCTGGCCGCGCTCGTGTGCACAGGCGGTAGAAACTGCCTGCGACGACCTTTGCGTTACCTGGAGGAAAGAGTACTTCAGCGCTTGGTGATTCCCTCCCTCCCGACGCTGTTCTTGCCGCACACGGTGGCTCCTGTTGGCGACTTCGAGCCCTCCTTAGTAGTAGTCGCCTAGTCTTCCGGTGCACTCTATAACGCCACGTTTCTTGCGGAGTGCGTGTCTTTGTTGGCAACTTGTGAGCGTGAACACTACAGCAGTACAATGTTTTGTTGTCGTCTTGTCTTGGCGCACTGTTGGGGTACATGTAGCACGCCTTTGGCGTTTGTCGGTGAAGTGCGTGTTGTTGTGTTGTTGATGGTGACTGACCCGTGCGTCGTGCTGTTGGGGGGAACCCCGTGTTTTAGTTCGTAGGTGCTTGAGGAGGGGGGGCAGTTTGCTCCTTGATTGTAGCACCCCATGTCGTACGCACGTTTGGTGCTGGATTCGGTCCTTGATTCCTCTCTTGCTTTGCATGTTCTCGGAGGCCGCGGAACGAAAAAGTGACTCCTCGAGAGTTTGGGGTCAGTTTGGCTCAGATTCTGTCGCCCCGCGTGCTCTTGGTTTTTGGTGATGGGTCTGGTCATGACTTCCCCGCGTGTTTTACGTCCTCCGGATCGCAAGGAATGTTTTGAAAGTAGTTCATGATAAGTTGTCTTTGTTATTGTTGTAGTGTGGGCACACGCTGGCTCGTAGATCACGTTCAGCCAACGTCGTGTGATAGTTTTGTTCTAGTGGGGCTCAGAGATAGTTTTGTCCTACATACGCAGCAACATACACCACGAAATATATCGTGCGCTTGATGCTACTTCCACGTTGTCGGAAAGAGGGTGCCCGACAAGCCCCACTTCAGGAAGCTTGGAGATGCGCTCATGTGTGGTGGTGCTGTTGAGTCAACCTGCGGAGAGAGTCGTGCGCCCTGTGTACGGCTGCGGACGTGACAATATTCGCAGCTGGACGCGATGTTTTCTCAGAGAAGCATCACGACACCAATGCGCCCACGGTGTAGAAGATATTGCATGTGCGGTAAGAAAAACCCTGCTGCAGGTTCTGGGCGTGCGATGGTAAATGCGTGCCGTAAGTGACGTTTGGAAATATGAATTAATCTATGTGTGTTTTGGCGCTTTTTGTTACTACTGTCCTTGTAGTAGCAAGACTCATTGTAATAGCAAGACCAGAGGTGCTATGAAGCGCGCCAGCGAATTTCTGGTCTCAAGCAGTAATAGGCTAGGTTGGACGTTAGTTGCAACGCCGGAAGGCGACAGACGCGATGGCAGATGGGGTGAGAGAGGGCCGGGGGTACTCGGGGAGGTCATGTTATTGGAGCACAGTAGAACACGTCGGTCTCTATTAAGGAATAATAAATACACACACAGAAAGACTACCCATTCGAGATATACCCACAGTCGAACGGGATGTGGTGGAGTCTTTTCAGCGAGTGGAGGAAAGCCGGCTGGGTACTGGACTTATTTCGAGTCTTTTTAAGTCTATACACTGATGATTTATGTCAGTGATGCCAGCTGGTGCTAAGTACAAAAACATCTGTATACATCATGGTGGCGGGGGGCGTCTATTGGCCGGTTTTGAATTCCCCCCTTCCTTTTCGTTGGAATAAATGTGGTATGTCGGCCTACCGCACATGCGTCGGCGAATGGTTTAGGGGTACTATTGTATCATGCGTGTGCGCACGAAAGACAAGCAGCACGTTTTCAGCTGCGGAAAATTCGCTGCGGATTCCGCTCGCATGGCCATAGCGGCAGCCTAGCTCGAATTTGGTTCGTGCACGAGCCTGTAAGAGAGGGACGTACGGGACCCCCGCAATTGCTCGACGCCGCAGTAACAAGGACACGTGGTGCAATAGTGTAGCAATATATGCGATGTGTCTGCCTGCTGCACGCACGTTGACGATTTGTTTTTGGGGAGATGTGTTATAATGCATCTGCGCACGAAAGGCACTCAACACGTTTTCGGCTGAGGATGTTTCACCGCGGATTCTGCTCGCACGGCAAAACGGTTAACCTAGCTCGAATTCGGCTACTTTCAAAGGCGTCAAGAGCGGGGCGTCCGGAACCCCTGCGATGGCTAGACACCGCAATCGCAGGGAGACGTGGTGCGATAGTGTCGTCAAGTGGCTCGATTCAGAGAGAACGACGCCGCCACTCGTGCCCCCTAAAAGACTGTCAGTATCACCACCGACCTCACACGGTTGTTCCGCACGTCGAGAAATGCGCGGGATTACTCCTTCGAATCAATGACGCGATGGAAGTTCCTTAATAGGGTTACCGTAAAAATCAAGAGCCGAGGAAGACGACCTTCGGCCTTGCACTTGGCGGTGAGAGGGCCTTGAAGAACGGGTGTGCCTTACTTCTGCAGCGAAAAAGCTGCAAGAAGGGTCGTCGCAGCATGGGTGTCCTAAGATAACCCGTCTGCTGGCACCGACCAAGTAAATCGCCAATGAGTGAATTTCGTCTCGTTTTTATACGTCCGTAACATGTGCCACCTCGTACTTCTCGCCTGAGAGTCCAATGCAGCCCATCGCAGGTGTTATGGACTTCATTTTTCAAGAAGTATAGACGGCCACCGCGGAGGTCTAGTGGTATCCTAAGCGCCAGTCGCAAAGGTCGTGAGTTGGAATCCCGATGGATGGGGTGAAAATTTTCAAAAATTAGAGGTGAAAGCGGAATATAGCTGAAAATGCTTTCGTGAGAACCAAAAATCGACGTTAGCACCGTCGCCGAGGGAAAGGGACGGCTGGACCCTTCTCGCGACAAAAACAGCATTCAGCACGCACCCCAGGATGAAGGTGGGGCACGAAATAAAAAAAGAAGAAAAATGCCCTGATGTTTACCCCCTCTGCGTGACCCCTGGTTGCCCCCTCCGTGTGACCCTGGATGGTTGTTGTACGAACATATAATATACTGAAATAAATCATCAGTGTATAGACTTAAAAAGACTCGAAATAAGTCCAGTACCCAGCCGGTTTCCCTTCACTCACTGAAAAGACTCCACCACATCCCGTTCGACTGTGGGTATATCTCGAATGGGTAGTCTTTCTGTGTGTGTTTATATTATTCCTTAATACTGAAATACGTGTATATAGTGCACGTCTCACCACCAAAAATGGGAGAACTGTCACTACAGTAAATAGGAAACACAAGACCTACAGACGGATTCCTGCGGGCTGAGAAATCACGAGGTTGCAGCATTGATGCTGCTTTTCGGAAGATAAGTTCACTTCTTCAATCCAATGGGGAGCTTCGGAACACAACACCTGTACTGTAGACGAAGGAGGATCTTGCATCGGCAGCAAGACGTTCGTGTCCGCCAAATGAAAAGTTTCGAACTATTTCAGAAAATTGGGCAGAGCAGAGAATGCCAATATCGTGTGTACGCGAAAGATCCCGATACATGTATGTGTCGCAACATATAGTCTTGCATGCATGCCACTGTAGGTACTGTATGGGAGAACCGTTCGATACGATATTCATTATACTGGTGCCCACATGTTCTAGATTTTGTGAAGATCCATGCTGCCTTCCAAGAGTTATCAAATCAAGATCATCACCCACGTCCCGCCCAACCCGCCCACGCTCAACCCCTCACTCATCACTCTCCTCGACACCCACTCATCGCCGTCCTTCCCGCTCCGCCCGCCGCACCGGTCACTCTCCTTCACACCACACAGCAGTTCCCGGCCGGAGCATCGACCAGCGGTGAGTTCACTCCTCCTGTGCTGTGTAAAGAGATTTGTGTGTGTTCGTTCCGTCTATTCTGGCGCCGGTTTACAGGCCTTTCGGCTTACACGTAGACTATACATATACCTGACGCATCAGCCGGGGTTACACAAGAGGAAGGTCACACATATTCTTGTGTTATTTATTGCCCACCTCTCCAACTGCGGTGCTTGCCTTAATTTCTATCGCGAGAAGGGTCCAGCCATCCCTTTTCCTCGTCGATCGTGAACCCGAAGGAAGGGTGTTTACTCACGACCTACGCAGATCGCGTTCCACTACAGGTTGCCGGGAACATATGATATCCCGGGAAAAAAGCCCTCTGGAGAGAGAATCGAACCCATGGGGCATTTCATATTCCCGATCGGTTTCCTGTGTGGGACAGGTTTGTAGCGTTCGCCTGGTCGCGAAGCACCTGTATGTAATCTGTTTCCATGTGAAGTTGGAACGGCGTGCGTACGTGTTAATCTCGTGAATTTATAGACTGTCGACAAGCCCTCGACTCAGTGTATAGACTAGCTTACAGACGGCCATGTCGACGTGTTAGAATCAACTCGGAGCACCACATCGATGCGCCTTCCTTGCTGATTGAGTGAACCTGTATGTCACTCTATCAACCCAAGTTCTACTACTACAAAAAACCCAACAGCAGTACCAACCCAGGTTCGATTCAAACTACCGAACCAGAGCACTGATATGGTATAAGGTACCAAGCGTCCGGTCTCTACGCGCTCTTGATAATCAAGCAACATCAACCATGATTGTCTCCCATCAGCAGCCCATCGTTCAGTTGATGGGGAACCGAAATATGGTTGCTTGAGCGATGACTCGGGCGTCTATCTTTCTCATCAACAACGACAGTTCATGTAGGGTGAAGCATCGCCCCCCCGCCCACTGCGTGCGGGGGGGGGGCATACGTCCAGCAGGTCTGCGAGAACGGTATAGGCGTGTGCTTCGCGTCTTGGATAATGCTGACAACCATATTGTTCGGGATCTCTCCACCATTTCATTTCGTGGGTAATGAAACTTCGTGTTAAGATCATTCGTTCGTCCCATACAACCAAGACGCGCGTCACTATTCAACTTTGCATTAGGTGGCAATATAGATTCACATATCCCTTTTCTCGGGTAAGAATTTTGACGATAGCAACGACTGCATCATGATGTGCAGTACTGCAGGAAGAAGAAAAATATGGGACCAACAAAGAAGGAGATACACACGAACATACGTGGCCCCCATGGGGATGAAGTATCCGAAAGAAGAGAAGGCATTTTGTATGCATGAAATACGAAGTGCGTAACTACACCTACTACCAAATGTAACATATTGTCTAGAGTGCGTGCGATATCTCTGGACATAATACTATAACTACTGTACACATAAGCTCTGGACATGCACTCTCGATCATGCGGGAAAATATACCAAATGATGACAACGCGTCGGGTCTCGTACCCGGCTGGCCTCTCTTTTTGTAGGCAGTTACAGATAGAAGTCGACCCTACCGCCCGGGCAAATTCTTCGCGATAAATGCGCCGAGACTGTCACCTTATTCCCCAGTGCCGCGAGTCCGGGTCATTCTTTTAAAATCATGGAAGTTTCGTATTTTCAGTCGATACAGTACGTAGACTAGTGGGCGCACTTTTCTCTTAATATGTTCTTAAAGACTCGAAAAATAGGCCGGGGCGCACCAATAACACCAGGTTGTTCTATCCAATCCATCCTGACTCCATGAAACCTTTGAAAGTATGTTTGGTAAATACCGCACCGGGTGATCGTGCAATAAGGTCAAATAAGGGACAATTTAGCCCTAGTGAGCTCCGCTTTGTGTATCGCCGCCAAAGGTTCGAGCGACGTTAAAAATACTGTTAACGCTATTCTTGTTTCGGCGGATATCTGATCTGCTCAATGCGGGCGATCAAACGGTCAAGATCTGCAAAAAAACCCAGGCTGTCCACCGCCGTCAAACTTGACGATACATACACAGAACGGAAGCCATGAGCGTGCCTGCAACGAGATCATATTCGCAAAACATGAGAGATATCATATTCACAGGAGGCCACGCGAACCGTGTAGCTTCACGCCGCCGTTATGTTGGCTCGTCCAACTCTCCCTTTCGTAGGACCGCTCTTCAACCCCGTATCTGTGCTCGCCCGAAATCGGATGGTTCACGTTGTATGACGAAACAACACGTTTTCGACCTCCATCAGCTGGCCTCTCCTCATACTTTCACGTGAACAATGCGAGGAACGTGCACCAGCCAAAAATTGGAGAGGCCAGCCGGGTACGAGACCCGACGCGTTGCTATCATTTGAAGAATGAAGTTCGTTTGGTTGAAGCCCACAAGCCTCTTCTTCTGCAACCCTTGGCCTCGCGCGCCCGCTTCCTTGTCCAATCGGCAGAGAACCATGAAGCAGGCGGCTCACATCATCAAGGCCGTCCTCGCCGTCTGCATCGGACCTCTGCTTCTGGCTCCCACTGTCTCCGCTAGGACCTCCTCAGCCTTCGCCGACGCCGAGAACTCGTTCTACGACTACAGCGGCGACGAATTTGAACGAGTCAAGAATTTCGACTTCAACCAGTGTGACTACAACACGTGGATGTGCTGCTGGGACGGCCGGAATGGACTAGCTGTAAAAGACAACACGGTAAGACGTGACAAAATGCCGTCCGTTTTCAGGGCGGCGCTTGCCACACATCCTCTGTATGTCGACTTCGTCGCGTTGAAAGAACCACAGGCTCGATGGGACGCCGTACCCCCCCACCACCAACAGAGATGATTCTCGCTGTTCGTATTTATATTCGGAATTTTACAAATACATACCATGGTACATATCAATGCCACCATAGACAATAACACCCCTTCGACGTACGTCGTCACGCGCAAGCACAGGACGTTCATGTGAATATTATGCTCAATTGCTGATGTTTTCTCCCGCATTTCTACGCGCAGGATGTCTGTAGCTACAGAGGCGAAGAGTTCCCAGGGGATTCCGAAGGGCCGGTGCACTGCCACGGGTTTGTGTGGCCTGAGAACGCGAGCGACGACTTCATCAAATATTTGGCGCTAGACGTCGCTTTCATCAACCACGTGGACGAGAAGGCCTACACCGGAAAGTGAGTCTGCGCAGGTTATTTTGATGAGTGTGTGGTGAGTCGGGTCAACTACATTGAACGATACTTGCACCAGCAAACAGCAGGTAGGTGCGTGTTGCCCATTCTGGTCGAATCGTTCGATACCCAACAGTCCACCCACATGCGCCGCCCCTTCTGCGATACCCACACACATCTTGTTGACCCCCGGCCCCACCCTCTCCGCCTCCCGCCATGTTTTTAACTTGTTCTCCAACCCAGCATTCCGGGGGCTCCAGTGTGCCACTGCTTGGAAGAGATGCCAGAGGTATCTCGGGCCGATTGCACCCAGTACAGGAAAGCTAATCTGGCCGGAAGCGACTTCATGGCGTGCTCGAAAAACGATCTCAGGCGCGCGTACAAGGAGTTGTACCCGACTGGTCGCGGCCGAGACCTACTTGTCAAAAAGTGTGACAACCGTTACGGTATGTAGGTTCATTGGGTCTTCTGCTTGACGTGGTGCATAGACTAAGCCTGCGGCTGCTTGTTCCCAAGATGTGTTCGGAGGAAGACCTGCCGCAGTGGCGGTTGCCGTTGGTCTCCGTGTTTAGCACTGTTCCCCATGCTGGGTCTTTTTCCCCATGGCACGCGGGTTTCTGTTTTGTACTACTGCATGGAACTCGTACCGCTCATGATGGGACATGTACGTAGAGAACGTCTCTGTGGCAATATTCTGTACACTTCGAGTTGCACCTTGTCGTAGGTAGCCCACAGGGTCGAAGGATAGTTGCCATACGGCATCGTAGCAGGCTTTCGTTAGAGCGGAAGAGAGAGAAGAGGCTTAGCTGAAAACGGGGCCCAAATTGGGGAGCAAGTGGGTGCAACTTCTTTGCGCTCCAGATATACCTGGTAAAACGTTGGGTGGGGGGAGGGGGGTGCTGCTGGGCATCCTTTGGACAACTTGGTGCACCGAACGTTTGTTCTGTTTGGTATTCCGTGTTGTTCGTGCCTCCTACAGTAGAAAGTGATATTGGTACCTCGTTGCATGGTGCATGTTTATCTACTAAAGTATTTCATTAGTTTGTATTTGTTGAGTTTGTACTTGTATGTCGCCTGGATGGTTAGACCTTGCCTCCTGGGACCTGATATTGCGTCTAGGACAGGTAAAATCTTGGCGAACCGTACCTTTTGCTGCATCATATTCTGTATTGTAAGATTATTGTCGTCTACGCTGGCTGGTGCGATACCTCCTCGGACCTGTACTATTGCTCAGGCAAGGGTCGGTGTAATGGAGCAACTGGAAGTAGATTATGAGCTTGTTCGGCGCTTTGTCTCGTTCATGGTACGCTATGTGTCGCTGTCGCGTGGTTGAGTGCCGTGTGTTGGAATATTTGGCACTACCGTAGCTGCAGCATCAAGTAGCCAGTTTGACTAGTTCAAATATTGTCAATGTCGCTATGTCATGTCGTAAACTTCGAAGAATAAAATTCCGTGCGATATGCCATACTCACTCGTCGGAATAAGGAAACATAATGTAGTTGGGTGATGTTCTATGTTCCATGTCCAGATTATGCATAGTCTCGATTTCAACTAAATCAAACCAGTTGAGTTCCAGTAGCTCAGCCTTGCGTGCTTGGATATATATGCATCGTCTAGTTGTCAGAAGTATCTCCGACTTGTGTGCGTGAAAGGATATGTACCGCCGCAAGTAACTCAGACATACATGCGTGCTTGAATAAATGAAGATTTGTGTGCGCTCAGCAGGCGAATTTGGAAGTAGTTCAGTTGTTGAAGCTATATTCTGTGTTTTGTCGTACATCAGTTCAAGTAATCACTAGTGCTTGCAAGCAGTACTTTATGTGCATACGTGGCAAGTTCGAGAGCATGGTGTTGAAGTCATATTTTCCAGAAACAATTACCGTATCTTAGCATACCAGTACCGTATTTTGCACACGTGTGATTGGTCGTCGTTGTCGAATAGGTGTGAGTCAATGATTTCGAGGATGAGCGTCGCGCGCACTCGCCCCATCCTCTCACTGGGGTTCACTAACCCTCTGTTTTTCTGGAGAAATCCACTTCTGAGTGGTTTCACTCTGTTTCTCTACATTCATGCTGGTCTCCAACTGATTAGGTAAACTGCATTTCCACCAACCCATCTTCTTCTTCTTCGGACTTCCTGCGCACTCAGAGCCAAGCCTCTCGTACTAAGTCCCAGCGGCACAACGAGTGAGTTGGTACGCCGCGCTGCAGCTGTACAGGATACGTACAGGCTCACACGCAGCCCTTGAGTTTGCATTTGACCTGTGACTATATATAAGAATGCACAATCGGGTGCTCTGCCTATGTGCTGTACATCATCAGTGGTCATTGCCGCATAGGTTGTGTTCTGCCTGCGCGACATACTGCACAGAGAGCACGCACAAACTCAAGAACAAATTAGGACACTCGACAATCTACGACACCTCTTCGAGAACCGATACGCGACAATCGTTAACACCCTCAAGCCTACCCTCACTCCCAAGATGTGCGAGGATATGCACCGTCCCAAATAGCCAAGACTTGAGTACGGTGGCAAGTAATTCAGACTGTGCGTGCGTTAAAACGGACTCGTATGCATTCAGTAGCCGAATGTGTAGTTCAGTTGTTGGAGCCTGTATTCTACCTTTGTCATACGTCGGTGCAAGTAATCCTTGACGCTTGCAAGTACAGTTTTAAAGATGTGCGCGTACGTTGCAAGTTCGAGAGCATGATGTTGAAGTCATATATATCAGTAACGTATCTTCCCTTACAAGTGTACCGTACTCTGAACACGTGTGCATTAGTCGACGATGCTTGATAGGTGTGATTCCATGGTTTTGAGGACGACCGCGCACCCGCCCCACCCCCTTACTCTGCTGGGGATCTCTGCCCTTTGTCTCTTTTTTTCTGGAGAGATCCACCTCTTTTTTTTTTCCTGTTCACCCTGTTTGTCTACATTCATGCTGGTCTCCACGGATCAAGTCACTGTCTTTCAACCAAACCATCTTCTTCTCCTTCGAACTTCCTGCGAACTCAGAGCCAAGCCTCTCGTACCAAAGAATCCAGCAGCGCAAAAAAGTGGGTTTGTACAGGATACGTACAGATTTACACGCAGCCGTTAGTTTTGCCGTTCTTTGTCCTGAGACAATGAGATTGCACAAATGTGCTCTACATATTATTAATGAACAACATCAGCGGTCATTGCTGCATACGCACGTTCTGGCCGCGCGACACACGGCAGAGAAAGCACGCACCGCCTCCAGAATTCATGAGCGTGTTCGACACTAGTCAACAACAACTCTTTCGAGACGCGATACGGGACTATCTCCTCAACACCCACAAGGCAAGCGTACCTTCCCCAAGAATTGGCGCTCCTTACCTTTTTCCTGTTTTTTCTGTTATTTGTTGGTTCCTCTTCTCCATGGTTCATGTATTCCAGTTGTGCAGTTGGTATACGTTGATTTTATATCGCAGTCTCTGGCTGGTTCCACCTTGCTTGCTTGCTCGGACCTATTTTTGCTGTTCCTGAGGTACCAGTAGTATGTGTTTGCTCGGCGAACAGTAGTAGTTACCTGATGCTGCATAGCCCTGTGTTCCAGTTCTACTGGTAGCGCATCGTAGGTTTGTTGTAGTCTAACTGGTTCGATAGCTCCTCGGACCTGCACTGCTGTTGAGGAGGCAAGCGTCGGCGCTGCAGCTGCAGGCGCCGCATCGTAGGTTTGTTGTAGTCTAACTGGTTCGATAGCTCCTCGGACCTGCACTGTTGAGGAGGTAAGCGTCGGCGCTGCAGCTGCAGGCGCCACCGGCGCAACATTTTAGGGGGGGTAAACTGAACCCCAAATGTGGTTCCAACAATGAACGAACCCTCTTCTTCGGCCTCTTCCTACTTCTTAGGGCTTGGCATGATTTACCTGTACACATAAGCACCTTCTGCCCGACCTTTGGCTGTTGTAGATGCGCAGGGAGCGAGACCTATTGTAGGCCTGCTGCCACATTGCATGATTGTCCTCGTTTCCCCTCTAGATACACACTTTTGTCTGTCCGTCGGGCGTGCCATCACGAGCTCTCACCACTTTCCAACACTCGTTGCTCAGCCAAAAAAAAACAATCGGCATGATCTGTGAGGTGTGTTTACTTTCTAAAAAGGGATGAAGGCGTTTGCGCTGAATAGCTGCATGTTTGCAAATTTGCCTCGATAGTTCGCAGTTCGCATACCGCGACACACCATCGTGTTCCTTACCGCGGAGACACTGGAAAACAACACGTGGAATATAAACACCCGACCAAGGACTAGCGGGTGGCGCCGTTGTAGGCCGCATCCGAAGGCACCTAAAACGTTTATCATGGCCGAGGGCAGAGAGAACGCGAACAAATGTGACAGTCCAGTCAGCGATTCCGCCGCACCGCAGCAAATCTTCTTTTTTACCTCGTACCGGCACCCCACCTCGCCCTTCTCACGTGGAAGTCGGCCCAGGTGGGTTTGGAGCAAGGACGGGGCGTCTTTGGCGCGAGATGTTCGGCCGGGCGCTCGTAAGAAGGGAAATCCCCCGGCGACAACACGGTACTACAGCCCATGTATGGATTGTTGGTCCTCGACGTCATTGATGGTTCATGTACAAGTAGTTGAGAAAGATATACAAACACAGAAAGGTAGTTCGCGGAAGGGGGGGAACAAGTAGGTTTCAAATTCTGTCTTCATTGGTTGTTACCTACCTCTGCCTTTGCTGCGTGGTGGTTGCATGCGAGGCAATGGTAAGTCGCTCTCGTGTTTTTGTATGGCCGCGGGTATGTGCTTGCCGTGACGAATGAACCCGGCCCCTTCGCTGCTGTGTCTTTCTCGCATGGGCGAACGTTGAGTCGCTTCGCAGAGAGAAGCTTTCGTGCATTCCATGAAGAATGCGGTCGGGCCCAATACGCACTGGAGGCTATATATCATTGCTTTGTTGTCAAAATTCTCAAATCGACGAGGAGTGTATCCTTCAACAGCTTCAAGCGGCAAGAACAACAAACGAACCTCATGCCGCTTACACTACCGGCATGGCGAGGCTGCTCAACCTAGACGGCCAAACAAGCTCTTTATCGTCATAAGAGGGTCATCCCCTCACCGCGTGTCATACTGTGCCAACTTACGGATCCAACTTCTGATGACCTCGTAATCCTCCCTTCACTTGCCGAACCAAGGCCGTGTCGCGACGTTTGGCCCTAGACTAAAGCTGTCAGTAGTGTGGGAGATTGGGCAAGGAGAACTTTTCACCAGCACTGCTGTGAACAGGCCTAGGGCGCTTTCTGTTTCTACATGGTCTAGCTCTGTCTTGCCCGGCATGGTCGAGCTCTCTCTCTCGCTCGGCAACGGCAGTTCACCTCAAAGACGGAGACGTCGAAGAAACTCTCTTACGCGGCGACGCGTTGTACGAAACATGTGGATACCAGTTGAGTTCCGTGTACGCGATGGTACAATTATCTTCTTTCTAATATTCTTGGCGACGACAGATCATCTACATCTAGGCCCGCTCCACCTCGAGGGATACCAAAAGCGCGCTCCTCATAATATTTCAACTTATCATAGGACAAGTGCCAAATGGTTCAGAAATATGCTATTTGGACATCAAAATCTACGCTTGCACGTATGTACATCGAGGAGGTTTATCTCCCACAGCGCCTTCCCAACAAAGCAGCGCTCGACGCCGGAAACGCCGCTGTAGGTCAAAACCATGACACCAGAACAACTCGACGCACAACCTGAAGGACCCTGGTTGTGTCGACGTGCATACAGGCTGCCACCTGCTTGCCCCTTCAAAAGCCCCCTGTCGCGACGCAAGCAATAGGCGGGCTGTACCACACCCGCCTTTCTTCTCGCCCTTCCACATCAAGATCCTTCAGAGAAATCCAAGAGAGGCGCAGTACACCAGCGGCGCGCTACGCCGCCACCCCTTCCCGCATCGGACTACCAACATCAGATTCAGCGACCACTAGGTGTTCTCTCTCAGCTCGGGGAGCCATACCAGGCGAGGTTTTCTGACCGGCGGCGCAGGAAGCCTCGTCAAACCCAACATCTCCATTAAATGATCCTCAGAATGAAGACAGAATTCACTGCGTGAGTAGATAGGGTGCGTTCAAAAAGGGGGTTGTTCAACTCTTCCCGGCCTCACGCCTGGCTGCCTGAACAGTCTTCACCGCCGTATTGTAGTCCGGCCTGTCGGGGGTCGACGATAGCACTTTCGACTCCGCCGCACGCTGCCCCCGCTTTTCCGACTGGGCTGCCGAGACGACCTTCCGACAGTAAGGGTCCGTCCGGCGAACGCACACAGGTGGGTGGGTATACTATGGCGAAAATAGTCTACAAAAAACAGAGCCATACCGGGAGAGGGAACCACACCGTGCTGTCATGCATGATCATGGGGGTGGGATCGGGGGTGGCCTTGTGGCCACGATTCTACAGTACATCAGTTCTATTGCAAACGGAAGATGATGACAGGGCGAGCGGGTGCAAAGGGCTAGGCAGAAACTATGTGAGGGTTTGACTTGACCTCTTTGCTAACCCATATATTCCTCATCGTCTGGAAAGGCAGGAGGCGGTGTGGCTTCCAACATGCACTGGGAACTCGGTACATCCGCAATAACTGCCTCCGACCCCTGCCACGTACGGGACACGCAACGCTCAATTGCCTACGGCAAGAAAGAAAGACGGTCTCGTGTGGTTTTGACGCATTTGGCGGAGGTGTGCGTCGCAGGATAACACAGCCATTTATTGTATCTTGTGCCGATGGCCGGCCAGTGAACGCAGCAGCAGCTCCGCACGTCGCTCCAGAGCTAACCTACGGCCCACCGCGCTGTCCTCGTCACATTGCAGGGCAACACAACCAATATTACAGAGCTTCCGTGAGGACCGGCGGCCGCAGCCCCCGGCTAAAGAGTGACGACACCGTGCACTCCTCTTCCGTAGCAATTAGTGCGACTAACCTGCCAGTCTTCCGGCGCTCGCCGGAAAATCCAGCCCCCCGGGAGAGCCTTGAGGTAGTAAACCGTCTCGAACTTCTTGAGGAATCTCTCCTTGGCGTTGTACAGGCCGGGGAAGAAGATGCGCGGGTAGTAGCCTCCCCGAAGCTTGTTTTGGTCGTTGTCGTTGTTGTACCAATAGTCGACATCGCCGTCACCATTGCGAGAGGATGAGGAGGAAGAGGAGGAGCAGGCATGATTGCACCCAGGTAGGCGCACGTGTGTGTGAGTGTGGGAAGAAACGTGGTTGGTTTCACAGGTACCGTGTACGTAGAAGCGTCCTGGGGGGGCGGTGGGAAGGGACCCAATGGAGGCGTCGGCCATCAGGTGCGACGGTTCGCTCCAAGGGCGAGCTGCCCATAACTAAGGCTGCCCGACCACCAACACAGACCCTTGTCTAAACCGGTTCGTAACTGTACCCGGGCAGGAGGTGGTCGTGGAGGAACACTCAGAGAGCGATACAGCGCGCGTCCACTATCGACCGAGCAATCGACCGGGGTACTCATGTAAACGCATGCCGTAGTCGGTGGAACAAAAGACCTCGCATCCCTAGGGACGGAGTAGCGATACGCCGGGTTGTTCGCTGGCCCACAAGGATGAACCAGAAGTTGGTTGGTCATCATCCTCGCCTTTGCTGTGCCAGCTCAGATATCGTATTGGCCGTCTGGGCGGGGCAGTGTTTTCTTCGACGCCACCCTTCCAAGTCTCCGTCGCAAACGACACGAGTGACATTATAGACAGGGGTGGCATGCACGCGAGGTCGGCAAAAAGGAACAATGCATATCCCAGGAAAAACAAAACACCTTGCCGAGGGAGGCCACCATGCCTCGAAACATGTAAAACGGGGTTCGCCGTCTCGATAGCCCATGACGAGGATCGACCTCCCGCAGTTATTTGGAATCGGGGAACTGGTTCAATATTTGTGGTGGGTTTAAAAAAAAAACGACTTGCCATATGCTTATCTGTGGGTCGGCACTCTGCCGTTACCTCGTTTCTCGTCCTATCGCAGAGGAAAACACGAAGCTGGTGCTCGTGGCAAATGGCTGACTTCGGCGTGAACGACCAAACGGCTGCTATTTCTTGTATTTAGACCCTGGCATTGGTGGCACCTTGTCGAGGTTGCCGTTCAGCATGACCATGGGCACGTCCGGGCGAACCAGCGAGTCCAGCACGATCCACTCGTTCACGTCGAAGCCTGAACCACGAACGCACAAAAGGTGAGCAGTCAGCGCCCTAGAGACGTGAGCGATTAGGCGCAGCAAGAACAGACGGATGGAACGCGGGCTATGGAGGGAAAACAAAAACAAGCATTCGAGTGGCGAGAAATTAGTCGTGAAGCGGCAGGATGTGCGGGAGGGGCAGAAAGGGCCGCCGGCGGCGGACAGAAACGGGCACACAACAGGAGAGGTGCATCCTGGGCAGCGTGAGAAATGAGATTAACATACAACGGACACCACGACCGGGAGCGAAAGGGAGACAATAATACACGGGAAGCTTGCCGTACGTCTGTGTCCGAAACAATTACGTTCGCTTCCTTCTCCTCCTCGTCATCGTGTGTGCCGTCGATGAACAGAACCGCTACGTATCCCTCTCGTTCCTGTTTTCGAGGAACATCCTCAAGCGAACCGACAATTCCCGCAACAAATGAGGACGAACGGAGAGGTTATCGGGGAGCTGGAAACAACCACGAGGCTTGCATTCTAGAGGTTTGCCTGCCACCCACTAGTCGACGGTGAAACACCCTTACCGCCGGCCGTGGAGACCAAAAGAGCAAGGACGACAGCTGGACCAGGAGGCGTGTGGTCTCCCCAACATGCGGGGGGGGGGCGGGGCGGGCATCTACGGGCATTCATTTCCCACACGACACTAGGACAAGAACACGCCAAACACGCGCCACAAATCCAAGCGACTTTAGGCCCAAACCACCTGCAGCAAGTAAATGCGTACCACACGTCAAAAATGTATGTGTCATCAGTCAGCGCACACGCAGCGGAGAACACACACACAAGCAAACCTGGGTTGACTACGATCTGCATCTGACACTCCTCGTCCTTGAGGTCCTTGATGGCGGAGTTGATGCCCACGACCCGAAACGTGGTGCCCCCGTACGTGTTCTGTGCGAGTTCAGCCTGTCCTTTCCCGCCGCAGCACGGACACGGACACGGCCAGAACACGAAATAAAAAAAAGAAGATAGATACGACCATCAGGGTCTGCAAGATACTCGGGTTGACCCTGACGGGGGTAGCGTGGGTTCGCAAAAAGCAGTCCGTTGCCCCGTGCGATCGTCCTCACCGGTACAGCAGACCCCTCCTCAAAGCTGGTGGGTGGTGGTTCGTGGTTGCCAGGAGTATGCTGTTGCTGTCAATCTCTGTTGGCGCTCTGAACCCATGCATACAACTCTCGTAGATATGTGTTCGTGCCCCACGATTTGTCCAATCATGTATTCCGGCTGCAACAGTGAAATTGCTAAAGTCGAACAGACTTCCAGCCGCGCTCATGATCTCCCCATTATGCCAGGTTTAGGCACGAGACAACTTTCAAGCCATTTCGGATCCACACCCATTGAAGACTTCAAGAAAAATCTAGGATTTAGCCTAAACGATCACGAAAAAAAGAAAAAAACTGTTTCTCTGGTTCTACATATAGGGATTAGCGAGAGGAACGGCTTTGGCGCCTTATATTTTGATCTCACGGTTGACAACCACGTGGTAAAGAAAACAAGCTGACCTCGGACATCCACCTCTATGTACGTGGGGAATCCCGAGAGCTGTCCAACTTCGCTGAGGTATTCGGACATCTACAGGAAGGCACCACCCGCTGTAAAGTGAAACACGATTTACCTACCCTATTTAGCAAGAGAACAGAAAAACGACAAAAAAAAAAGAAAAGAAAGCTCTCCGCGAGGAGATGCGCCTGGAGACGGGGGTGTTCGCCGGCAGTGTGGGACTTGGAACAGCCACCACCTGCCCGATCGAGAGAAAATGTACCTTTCATCTGGGAAGGCACTGCCACGTTGCTGCTGTGCTTGGACGATACATGTATCTGTTCTGTTGCGTCAGCCCAAGCAGCACGGCCAAAACTCTGTCCTTGTCTGTCGTGTGCTATCCCGAACATGAAAGCGTTCGTCATATCGGGCTCCGCGCGAGTACGCGATGGGCTCGAGGCAACAACGCACAGCTGGGGACAGGAACGCCCCCCGCATACTACGTGATGCGTGGGCATTTGCCGCCGCACGCACTGTTCGAATTTTCGGACAAGACACGTCAGGAGAGCATGCCGCTTGCTGCAACATATATGGGCTCCAAGATATAAAGCAACAAGCGGACCCCCTGCTTCCCTCCCCCCGCCTAGAGCGGAACATACCTCTGCATCGTCCGGAAAGACCAGCCACAGCGCCTTGCCCATCCGCGCTGAGAACGACCGCGCTAGTTCCCGAGCGAAGGATCGGTTCGCATCCAGTGTCTTTATTAAGCATTCCATGTCGAAACATCACACGCAAGGAGTATGGAGTTAGAACATCGTCATCATATCTTCACGGTCCGATCAAGGATGCAGGAGTGTATATAGCATTGTTGTTCTGATGGGGTCAGACATTTGTTCCTCGCTTACCCACGTAGACACCCACGTGCTTCTGCTGGACGCCCGGCTAAACGGAGCGGAATATCAAACAGGCGCTGGACACACCAACCGGGTGTGATCCCATGACAATGTGCGAACTCGAATCCATTCATTCGTACAGAATAATGGCATGTTGATGCAGCGTCTGTGCTCAAACTAAGGAGTAGGTGGAGGGGAGCATTCTCAACCATTTCAAAACTATTCGCCGGCAAGGCAGGCAGGTAGGGAAATGTGATTGCGCGGCAAGATACAACGACATCGGCCCGTCATGCGGAGAACTCAACCCCCAGCTACACTTCGTGTTGGTCCCGATTGGAGGACTTTCTTAGGGCCGTGCAGCAGAGGTACGAGCAGTTCCCGCAAGAGGTATTGTAAGCACGACATGATTTTTCCCGAAAAAACAACTATGAAAAAAAAGTCAAAGGTTGCTGCTGGTTCATCCACCGAATGCACAACCCAATGCGCACCCTGTGATCGCAACCCATACGTCCAACAATTTCTCCTGCTCCGCTCATGCTGCGGTACTTCAGCCGAACCAGCACGCAAATTTTTTGTCCACGACTATCTCCAACCGACCAATTTCTACTGGTGGACAATAAAACGGGGAGGGGGGGGCTTTCTCCTGTATTACCCAGGTTTGTCGCGTCCAAGAAACACACCGACAACTGAATAGCGAAAAAACACAAGTCTACCAACAAATTGGATTATACCTACAAACAGGCACGCTTCCATTAGAGTCGAGGAAAGCAAGAAAAACGCGTGCAACCTGCACGGGTACAACAAACCAGGGCTTGTGCTCTCACCAACGTGGTGCTAGAGAACTGGGGGACACAAGGTAAACACGGTCACCCACGACACACAACATCGGACCGTTTGCTCGGACGTGCCCGGCACGCAGGGCAACCGAACGGGCCGCAACGCGATAGGGCCTCAAAGGTACGCGCGAGAATCTTACGCGCTGCAGCGTTCGGGTTTCCGCCACGGCGGCGTCCTCCCGCTGGACCTCACCTCCCCCAAAGAGATGTCCAGCTTACCCCGTACTGGCGGGAACTCCAGCTCGATCTGCGCGCGACACAAGGCGAACAACAACGGCTGTGGTTTTCCCGTGTAGCTTGGGGAGGGAAAGGAAGTCATGTAGAGAGGGAAATGAGCGGGGAATCTACGTATGACATGCACAACATCAAGACGTGAGAGGTGCCGCGGGGAAGTCTCGTGAGGGTGGAAAGTCGCGGGGGGGCTCAAGCTGCCACCATCACGGGAGAAGACGGAGGTCGTCGAGCAAACAACCTGTCGTGGCATCTTGTACGGCGAGGGCAAGATCATTGGCATGGTGGGATACACCTCGGGCGAGGGAGGAGACTCGACGCAACGAACGGCGAATTGCCCGCCTGATCGATCACTGGAAATGGGGCACCGTCGACATGACGGTACGCTAATCAATATTGTTATCTGGATGTCTCGCTACACGCGTTTATTTCTGTGAAGCGTCTTCCAGTGCGGTTTTTTCTCTTGATCTTTGCTCGCCTCTACGCCACCAACCTAGAATTTCCTTCGCCAAACCCTCAACCATCTATCTGCGGAAAAAAAAAAAAAACATGTTGTCATGAAGTGATTCGGCGATTGTTTCTCGCTGAGGCGTTCGTGTTCCCGTCATGTAGGCCGAGAGGAGGGCTCAGAAATTCCTGCACCCGACCCGAGCCTACTCCCGCTGTAGCGGCTGAGCATCATCCGCCGCCTGCTGTTCTGTGTGATGAGCAGCGCACCGTTTTTCGCGCGATATACCTCACAAAAAATCACGGGTTGGGTAACACCTTTCTCAGCTCGACTGCTCCACGTCAACCATAACTCCCAATGCACTGCTGTTGTTACCAAAGGCAAGCAGACATCTCAGAGTTGGGGTGAATGGGACTCCGGAAAAAAACCGACATCACCTTTCCCCCAAGCCACTCAATATTCGCCGTGATGGTCAAGAACTTTCGAGAGAGCCAGAAATAAGTGCCTCCGTCCCAAGAGGCTACGACCTAGAAGCGACCCCAAGGCCGCTGTAGCTAAGCAAGCCGAGACCCGAGAGCCATCTCACCAGTTTAATTCCCGCGTTGATGGCGTCCTGTGTCGCCTCCGCCGTCTGCTTCTTCACCGCCGCGTAGGGGTCCTTGCCGCTGTGAAAAAGCAGGTAGAAGTACAATATAGCGATGCAGCCGCCAGCCGTCCGACGGGTGGGCGTATGAAACAAACGCCAAGACAACAGCAAAAGCAGCATAGCACACGAGAAGAGCACGGCGAGAGGCAGCGGGGCGGTGGCGAGAGTTGTCCACTACCTTAGTTTAGGATGTGGATATCATAGGTCTTTGCCCGCCGTCTTCGCTTGGAAGCCTAGGGTGTGCTGTATAGACTAGTTAGAATGCCTCTTAAGGTGCTGCAAAAATTGGCATCAAATTGTATTTCGGGCCGCCGGGGAGCTGAAGACCCTCTTTGGCAATTTGCCAATAAAGTGGGGTGCGCTCCGGGCGCCATGCTCTTGTGACGTGTGCGGCTGCTGGTGGTGGTGCGAAACGAGCACATACACATGTACATCGAAGATACCGTACATACGGGCCGGCAATGAAGAAAATACTCCGATACGATAGATGGAGAGGCACGAAAATTCAGGAAGCACAGCTCCGTGGTAGATCCTACACTGAGCCCTACTTCAATGCTACACCCGAAATACAATAATCTGCGCTGGACGGCCGTGGCGACGAAATAAAAAATTGGTCCTGGAGCCGGTAGCGACGCTTCCGTGTTACGGGCCCGTGCACCCGTAGTGCCGTATCGAGCGCGGCCCCCTCCACCTGCGTTGCAGCCCATGGAAAATGAAAATAATGTGCTGAGAAAAATAAACTGGGTACCTCCACAATTTTCCGGAACCCCTCTGAATTTTTGCTGCTCAGCCCACCCCAGGTCACCCTGTTAGCCACCACTGGTACTATTGGCACAGACCGCGGATCTCCATGAAACTGGCAGACCAGTCCAACATAGTTCCAACATACGTCCGCAAGCAGTTTTCACGCCGTGATTTTGCTTCCAGCTCGAGATTTGCTTCATAATGCCGATCGATTGCTGTTGCGAACGCCCTGTTTTTCACCTCTCTTGGTGGAAAACTTCCGCAGGCCGTCGCGGTCCGAAAACGAGACTACGTCCTTCGTGACTTCGCCCCGCGGCAGAAGGATAACTACAGAACTCAGTGCAAAAAGCTAGAATCTTGGATCAGCATCATATCGCCCTCCATGGGCCAGCAAAGGTCACCTAGAATCGACACCTAACTGCCTCTAAACGCGAGTAGTTGGCAGCGGCGCAATTGTAGCTCGTGGAAAAAAAACAGCCACGTCTCCATTTTTATGTCCTCACGGAGCCTCTGGCCAGACTTCGCAGCGCTGTCGCGGTCCAGAAAGTACATGAAAATCACTGGCGTTCGGGGCCAGTGTAGTTTGGGCACCACAGATTGCGATGCCGTGATGTAGAATTTTGGATCGGCACCGCAGCTAGAGTTGTGCTATCGTGTTTGTTGCCAGGAAAAAAAAAAACTTTTCTCCATGGGCTGCAACGCTGGTGCCTCGGGCCCGATGAGCAGGTAAGTATTTGTCTACTGCTGTACGCCTTTCCGCTCAGAAACAATATCACGTAGCTAGTGTAGAGGTGAACATTTTTTTTGTGCCAATTTTCTTTGACTTGTTCATGGAAGAGTACAAACAGAGGCGCCCGCATCCTCTCCTTTTGGAAGCACTACTTGTAGCTGTTGGTGTCGGCCACTGACATGCGCCTGCCACAAGTTGCATAAGATATCACACTCCCTGGGCCAACTTTCAGTTTTCAAAGCTTGGTTACTTGGCTGGGAAAGCACTGACGGTGCCGAAAATGGCAGCTGGAACCGTCCCATCAAGAGTTTTTCCGAGCACGTTTCGTTTGGCTTCGGCACCATCTTGGTCGAGGAGTACTGTAATCGAGCTTTCAAAATCGGTCCAGGGGGGGGGGGTGGTATCTTCTAAATGCAACCCCGGAAGGCTGCTTACAAAAAATCCCACCGAGTTGCACCTGAGCGTTGGTAAAGGACTGTTCACCAACAACGCGTGAAGCTTATAAAGAACTTGGTGGTCATGCGATCGGAAAGAGTACAGACAATATTCACGACCGGTCAACGACGGACTCCGGCAAGCAACAGGATCAAGCGCGCAGGAATCATGAACGCCGTTTCTCATGCGAGCGTTCATGTCAGACAATTTCACCACAAGGCTGCAGCTGACATCCTGCAAACCATGCGCCAGCAGGATCAAAAGTAGTGAGCAGCTTTCACACCTCGGGATTTTGGTCAGACACTGCACTTGCTGCCGCTGGGGCCTTGGCTTCTCCCGTCGCGGCCTAGGCGCCGCCGCATCATACAAGCGCTGATGATATCGGGGGCTTCTCGGCAGTGGTGATGGAAGTGCAACAAAGGCCAATGCTGTCGATGCCACCACCAGCCCGACCAACACTGCCGTCGCAACTACTTCCAGGCGAAGGCAATATCTCGTCATAATGCGCATGTCATGGACCAGAGCGTGTGGCAGGTGGCACTGCAGAGAGCGGAGCTTTCTTCGTCTTGGACCGAGCGCCTCTTGCAGAGCAAGCCAGACACAGCAGGACACGCCGGTCGTGCATACGCCAAAGCTGGCGAGATAAAAAGGTTCTCCAGCTGGAAAACGCCTCCCAGAACCACACCCTACAACGCCTCATTTGAATTGAACGGGTCACACCGCCGCAGCAACAACGGCTGCATCCGCTTGAGACCTATGGCAGCAGTAGCCGCGCACGTAAAACAGCAGCAGACAACCCACATGGACATGGATGATGTGGACGACGTAGTTTGGAAATGTTGCAGTGTAATCGAGGTACATTGATTTGCCAGTGCTAGTGTACCGTATACGACACAAGATAACACATCCCCTCGACCGATTTTGAAAGCTCGATTTATCAACAGCAGAAAGAGTCGCAGCGCCGAAAACGGGGGCGTTGAAGCTGTCTGGTCGAGAGCTCTCCGAAAGTGTATCGTTTCGTTTATGCATCTTCTTCGTCGTGGCGTAGTCGAGCTTTGAAAATCGGTCCAGGGGGTGTCATCTTGTGTCGTATACGGTAGTCGAGGACGTGTCTTAGTGTGTTTTAGGGGGGAGAGCGTGGTGGTGCGGCGCGGATGTCATCCCAAATGGTCGCGGTTTTTGTGGTGGTCCGTGCAGCTGCTGCCTCCGTGTTGTGCGGACGGTCGACGTAGAGAAGAAAAGTTGGTTTGTATCATATGATTCTTGGAGCATCATGACAACTGCCAACATGAACACGCGAGTACTTTCAAAACCGGAGAGCTCTAGGGAAACCGCATAAAATGTCAACGGGCAAAGAAGATACACCATCACGACGCCGAATCAAGGCTGCAACTTAATTCCAATGAGTGGTCATGATAAAGGGACCAGCGGTACTCTCATCCAACGCGCAAAAAAAAACTCAAAACATATCGGACACGGGGAAGAACGAAGACTCCGCGGGGTCGAGAGACTCTTGCCCCTCCACCCCTGCCACCCGGCAATGGTTTTCCAAGCGAATCCCCCTTCTCCTTGCTGCGGCGGGCCGGCTACCGAAGGAAATAATACCAATCCGACACAACAGATGCTGTTGGCAGACCCCCCAACACACGCAACACACATCCACACGCGCGCGCAAACCAACACGCGCCAACGGTAACAAAGCGAATGCAACGCCGAGTAAGGCATCGGCAACACGCTTTACATTTTCCTGACGTGTCCTACAGGTAAACGGTCTCCTCCACTACGGCGCACTACTACTTTTGTGTCGTTTGCTGGGCCCCGTTTGCTTCTTACGGGGCGGTGGTTGCAGACGCCCCAACTGAACAAGATGGGCGGTCGTCTGGAACGGTGGCGAAGCCTGCCCCCCCCCGCGACGAGAAACGTCCACGTTGTCCAGGGCACGAAACGGCAACGCCAAGCCCTCGGACGTGTGCGCCCCGTTGACGGGTGCCGCCTGGAAGCCGATAGGCGCGGCGCTGGTGGTGTCCGATCCTGCCGGAGGGTGGGACGCTCGGCGAACCCCCGTGGTACCGCTCGGCGAACCCGTAGCGAAACCAGCAGAGTTTACGCCCCCCCCTGCGCGCCCGTGGCCTGTCCCTCCGCCCCTGCCACCGCTTCGCCGGCCGCCGTTTCCACCGCCACCGCTTCCCTGGCTGCTGCTTCCAGGGTCACCCTTTTCCCCTGCCCGTCCTCTTCCGGTAGACCCCTTTCCCCCCCGGCCGCGCCCCCCCCGACCAGGGTCCCCGGCGTCTCCCTGCGGCAGGGCAGGGGTGGGCCGGGGGAGAGTTCCCGTGAACACCCGGCTCGTTGACTCGTCTCGTAACGACCGCTTCTCCACCTCGATTTGTTGCTTGGCGTGAAGCTTCATGGACTCCATCAAGCGTTGGATGCTCGCCACAGACGGGACCTCTTTGAACATACCACCCAGCTCCTTCCCTAAGGCGACGCCGTTGGCGTACGCGTAGGCCGACAAGTTGGGTCCGGAGTGGGACGACACGATCGGACTGGTGTCGACGGGCGGCATCTGTCCGGTAGGCCCCGCAGGTCCCGTCAGCCCCGCAGCTCCGGTCGATAGCTTGGCAGGCTTAGCGGCCAGCGCTGCCATCGTCCATGACGTCTCACTGTCACGCCACCTTGGTGAAATGGTTGCTCCGTTGAATTGGGAGGCACGCTAGTACCACAAGGCCTTGATGGCGTGCGGGCAAAGTAGCCCGTAGACGAGCTGCCGCAGGCACGTGCAGAGGAAGAAGCCGTCCGGTCCAAGGGCGACGAGGTGACCGCACTCGGACGCCGTAGACATCGGTGTGATGCGCACCACCGTGTGGACGTTCTGGTCACGAAGTAACTCCGCGAAGTGAGGCACGGATGTGCGGGACACCATGGAGACACCAGCGGCTTCGGACGTCGGTATTGAAGGGTCCACCAACTCTCCGGAGCCGGTGTCGTACGTGAGGTTCGCCTTCGTCGGGTCTGCCACCAACTCCTCGAACAGTCTCCGCGCCGCCTCTTCGTCACGCACGACAGGTATCGCCTCGTAACTGAGAGCCCCGAGGATCTGTGCTTCAGTGTCCTGCCAACACGGCATGCCCATGGGTAAGGGCGGTGTGCGACAGGGGGGGGGGGGGGTTCGGGAGGGAAGTCAGGTTCGGCATTGACATGAATACCAGCAGCGTCGTTGGTGCTGCCCACAAAGACTGATCGCCTTCCACAACTCGAAGGCAAGTACAACTCCATTACATAACCTTGTGCTATACAAGCGGGCACGCAGAAGTCGGGTTGGCGAGTGAAGGAAATGGGGGGAAAAGACACAACTCATGGCCGCGTCGCTGTGACTTTCCTTGGTCAGGCACCGCATCTGAGGGGGGTACGGTTAGGTGTAATGGGGGAGAAAAAATCTGGGTCCGTCCATCGCCGCAAGCGAAGGCCGCCACAACTAACCTCCGTGGCGTGCTGGCTGCACTGCTCGTACTTCACTGCGTTCAGGACGAAGTTGAACGTTCGCAGGTGCTTGGTCCTGAAGCTTTCCACATACGAGTGTCCCTGCACAGCCACTCGGGCGACCGTTCCTCCCAGGTTTCGTCTAGCAAGCACGGGGCACAACGAGCAGAGCACTAAACTTGTCAACCAAACGCGCCACAACACAACATGATGTAGAAATGCCGGCGACTATTAATGTATTGTTACTCTGGTTGTGTTTTGTCCCCGTCATTGCAAAGGATCTCTGGTTTGGGCCGCCTGGGAAGCCTCGAGTCCGTCGTGCATACGCACTACCGACGACATACCACCTCGCGAACGTTGAGTTGACCTCATCCACATGCAACGGGCGTGCTTCCGCGTGGTTGGTCAATTGCTCTTTGTTGTCGAGAGGCGACCTACGAGACACGCACAAAAATTCAAATGCTACCACCTTCAAATGCTACCACCTTCCTTCTGAACAGGTTGCCAGAACTCAACCACGCAATGCGTCGAGGTCACTGGACCATGGGTTGCCTCAGCTGGTGTCGCAAAATATGTACACGCAAATGTCACAACCGGACGCCCACCTTTGGGTCCTGTTGATGTCATCCTGAACCTTGCCTAGGAGCGCTCGGCCGAGGTCGACCATGTCGCCCTTCCTGGTCACCAGCTTCTTCACCGCAGCATTCATCGACTCAACACGCTGCGTGGAGGCAATGCCGAGAGTGTGCAGCCCAGGGTGGACGTACGACGCCCATTTGCCAGCCCGCCTGTCACACGTTACGGGACGGCTCAAACTTAGTGGGCACGAGACGGACGACGTCACCAACTGACGGAACCTTCAAACAGAATAAACAGGAGAAAGGCATCGTCGACGGAGGAGGAGCAAGACTTCACGCGTCCGTGGCCTACTTAGCATCGGCTGTCATTCTAGTCGGTGCTTACCCTGTGCCGAAGATGTTCTTCTCCATGTACTCGTACATCTTGCTCTCCGGGGGCAAGAGGTCGAGGAGCGCCCCTTTACATTGCAGGAAATACTGCGAGAGTGACAAGTAACGGAGCACGCGACGGGATGAAAGAAAATGGACCGGGAGAAAGAAGGTGCCAAGGACCTTTCGTATGAAATAGACAAAACAAGGAGAGCGGGCCGTTGGGTGTAGCCGCACGCGGCGGCGACGATTCCCGCGCTTCTACGATCGCAGCTCTCTCAAGCGTTGGACAACACGGCCTACACCTGCAAGTGGAAGATCCGTGCGGAACATCACCCACGAAAAAAATGATTCAATGTCCAACCAAGATGGCTCACCTCCTCCGTTTGCGCGTACGCCGCTGCCTTGAAAAGTTGAAGAACCTGACCCAGGACACCCTTCTCAAGACCCCCCCCATGCTCCCGGATGTTCCCCATGGTGTGCCAGATGCACAACTTGTTCAGGGCCGATGGATAGACCTTCGCGATTGCCAACATCGCGGCTGCGTCACAGTCAGTGAAGACCACCTTATTCAACATTCGAGCACAGTAGACCGGAGGAAGTTCACCGCATGATCATGTCGTGTTCAACTAAATCGCGTTCAGTTCCTTTATTCTAACATTGACTGGCGCCATTTATGGGCGAGTGCATACTGTATTGCCTTGTCATACTTTGTTTTACCTCCGGGGTTCCTCCTTCGCAGAGCTGCTTGAACGACTCGAAGACGAACTCGAAGGATTCCGACCGCTCGTCTGACAGCAGAGCTTGCATCGCAATCTGGCTGTGGTTCTCCTTGTCCACCACGACTATCAATGCAAGATGGAACTTGTATCTGGTTGGAGGAGGCGTGGCACAACAAGCACAAGAAATGGACATGGCGTGCATGAGATCGTGGAGAAGGGACGTGGCATGCGTGAGATGGTGGAGAAGAAGATACCGTCGACACTTTTCTCGACAACAGTATTGCCCCCACAACTTGGGGTGCCAAGGGACTTGAACAAAGAGCGTCTAACACTACACTCACATGTTCGTGTTGAACGTGTTGTCCTGGACGATGACGGAGTGGTATCGTACGGCGTTGTACTTCTGCTGCTGATATGCCCAGGCGATGGACGTGATGCGGCCCTGCTCGTCTGCCTTGAACCTCATGAAAGCCTCGCTCTGCTGGAGGTGCGAAACGAACAGCTGGGCGTCGTTGAACACTCCGTTGTCGGCCTTACGTTCTGCGTCGAACGCATCCCTCATGCTTCGCACCTAACGGAAACATGGACAACCCGGCAGTGAACTCGGTTAGGGTGTACTCGGACGAAAGCATGCAGACGAAACAAGAATGGTTTCAACGAAAATGCCGCCGGTTACATAATTCGTCATCACCCCACTTTTGGGCTACCCCCCGTTCCTCCCGTGGGTTTTTGTCGCTCGGCAACACGCCGATGGCTTTGTGAGCTCGACAAAAAGGTTGCCACTTTTTTCGCCTTGGTGTTTGTTAGCGGCAAACATGATGGTGGTCGAGTACATCATGGTGTGCGGGGTGGACAACCTTCACTCTGCGCAAAGGGGATGGTGGCACCACTTTCTGTTGAATTGGTCGAGCACCCTCAACGTATTGACACTGTCCTTACTGCTGTCTCTGGAAGAGTGCAGCACGAAAACAAATTCAGGGTTACTCGCAGCTGTCATCCTTAGCCCAACACGCCGCACACCCAGCAGGATGTAGCGGCACGCCCCATGCGACTCGGCGAATACCTCACGGTGCTTCGCGCTTGGTGATGTCACAGACTGGTCCGGTGACAAGCCGGCATGATTCCGTCCCGGCGCGCCAGCTCCCAGCCCAAAGACTATGCTAAGATGATACTTGTAGTCATCATAGTCTTTGTCCCAGTCCGCCAGCCCAAACCCAACACAGCAGCCAAAGCCCTCAGTACATGGCGGTGGCCTACTTGTAGTGGCCGTTAGAGTGGTACAGGAGTAGATGGATAAGAACTGCTGCTGTTTGCGCATCCGCTCTTTCACAAACCTTCATTGGAATGGTCTCGGTACGTCTCCTGTGTGTGTTGTGCAGTTTCCTGCTGTGTGCGTATGCCAACAAGCAGCGCGTGCCGTTCATTTCCGACATGATTCTGGAGACGTACAATATCTTTCACGAATCAAAAGATCTGTCACGCCAAGTCACGCTTGTTTTTTTACGGCACACACATACATGCATACATGCATGTTCCACGTTGCGAACCGCGACAGCTTCCCGCTCTTCCGATTGATTGCTGACCTTCCACACGCAACAAAAACACGACTGCAACTGTCTAGGAAAATCACGATCACTTGGCCGAACCCATCCGCCCGTTGCCTTGCCTGCTGGCTCCTGATGCTGTCAGTCAGTGCTGTGTCGTCAATGTAATACTTTTTTGGGTCTGTCTCTGCTGCAGGTTTCTGCAGGTGCAAAACTCTCTTCGCTCTGCTTGTTTTTTCGCTGCCTTATTGCCCTCCACACTGCTGCACGGTGTGGTGCCACATGGCCTGCCACCCACTAACGGCAGACGCGCGATCTCCAGTCGGGTGCCAGTCCTCCCGATATCCCGACAACAGAGTCGGTCAACTGCGTTCAACGCACAAATGGGCTGCCGCCCCGTTGGAAACACATACTCTGGACACGAAGAGAAAATATCAAAATTACGGAACAATACTGCAGTCAGTCTGCCACAGGCGACGGACGGTCAAACGCATGAATCGCCACAAAAAAGCAGTGCATAGCACTTATTGCTGGTCCCTCCTTTGTTTCACTTCTGGAAGCAAACACCTCTTGGTAGTCTCTGCCTTCTATGTTGGCAGAGAGGTCGGGTTTGCGCGCGCGTCTACTGCTCTATAGACCTCCGCGCAGCTCATCGCAAGGATAGACCCTACCGGCGGGGTCGCGAGATGGGAACGAACGAAAGCATTGATTGCGCCGCACCGTTTTTTGGTCCGCTGATGTTGGCAATATGTACCGTTGAGTTTCTTGTGGCCAGAACAAAACACCAAACAAACCCACAGCTGTGGCTGCTGCTCTTCTTCTGTACACACCACCCGCCACCCGCCCGGCACCAAACAAGCGGCAGCCCTTGCTCCCGGCAAAACTGCACACGCCCTCTCTCGCAGACAGTGGTCGTTCCAGGATAGCCATTGTACGCCGAGTTACTCAGCAGCACACCAGTGTCTGCTTCTCGTTCCTGCTGGGCAACCCGGATTGCTGCCTTCACATCATCAGGCACCCGACCAAAAAAGCGGTGCACCTTCCGTTGCGACGTCCGGTAAGTTACTACTGTTGCAGGCACAGGAAACAGAGAAAAGGAGGATAGTAAATAGCCAGAGGGGGAGAGAGAGAGAGAGAGAGAGAGAGAGATGCGCACACGCAGGAGAGGCATAGAGACCTGCGGCTCTGACAGCTATTTTGTGCAGCGCGGTCCGACAATAGTGTTCCTGGTTTGATCCGCTTGGAAATTGACCGGTTGGGTGGCAGACAAGATACATTGGTTTGCAGACAACGTACATACGTACATACAGTACATGCAGACAAGATACATTGGTTTGCAGACAACGTACATACGTACATACAGTACGGACGAGTGCATACGCGAGACAACGGTTTAAGGTAATGCCCATGCCTTGCGTGGTCTCTTTTGTACTTTCTGTGAGGTCCGAAGTTGCATGTGGATTTCTGCGGTAAAGTAGTCTAAGAGCTGGATTGCGTACGTTTAGATATGCCAGCAGTAAAAAGCCAGCAGTAAACTGCTACTGAAACTCACTGTGCTTAGACTACCGACAGTGCCACAGCAAATACCCCGACTAGCGCACCGCCTCTCTTCGGGGCCGACTCTCTCTAGGGCCGCCAGCACTAAGCAAAGCAAGCAAAGGTCTGTGTCGCGAATTATGGAGGAGCGACACATGGCGTGTGTGCCCAGTAGAACCGTTGCCGGCACCTTGCTGCTGAAGACTGCAATTGCGGTTCGAAAAGGAAGGCAGGTCCACATACATTTTTTTTAATAATAAACAGCAGTGTATATACATACAGTATATTTTTTCAGAGACCAAATCTCCCCGACTTCTGGTCCCCCAAGACATTGAATGGTGTGAGCTACTACCAGTAGCATTTGACTGGGTCTGTGACGACGCATAGAGCAGCGGATCGTGATTGGTATGGAGCCAGTTGTGCTGACTTGTTTTCGGACCGCAGCTGCAGCCTTCGAACATCACACCGCCCCACCAACAGATCAACGGGGTACAGTAGCGCATCTCTGCTCCATGATGTTCTCTGCTGGAGAAGAGATAGATCTTCTTTGATGTTGGGACTCTGCAAGCTGGATCGTCGTGTTGGAATCATCAAAAAACCCAATCCAGCAGTTTTCCACAGCAGTCGACACCCAGTGCGAAATCTATTCTGCTTTCGCGAAAAGGCGTCAGCCATATTCGCGAGTGTGCGCAATGTCAGGAGCGGCGCGAACGTCTGCTCTTGTTGCACAGGTTTTTGCGACCACCGGGATTTTCGAAAACCGGGGTCTTTCTATCGAGTTCAGTTCGGCGAGCCGCAAGCAGTACAAGTGTACACATACCTGAGATCTCCCGTTACCATAACGCCAAATACCGCATCGATGTTCTCGTATTAGGAAAAATATAACAACCGAACATATTTTCGAGATAAAACCACAGCAGTCTAAATTACGCGATGTGCTGCGTCTTTGTAGTGAGTGGAGGGAAAACGGCTGATTTTTGTTCTCGTATATCCATCTCGTCATTGCTCTCCGTGTGTCTTCTCTCTTCATCCCCCCCACGCGTTCTTGTAGGCGTGGTTGCGGCAATGTTTCTGCCGGACAGGAGGGCTAGCAATACCGACGACCTGGAAATGGGCAACCATACCAGGTCACCGTCGCTGGAATCCGGTTCAGCCCACGACGGCAGCAGCTTCAGCAGCAGCAGGTACGGCAAGAACAACCGCGGCGGCGACGGCCGTGCCAGACACCACCGCACCCCGAGCTCCGCGGGCAACGTGGAGAGCACCCGCAGAGAACGCTCGACCCGTCGTGCCACCGACGGCGACGGCAGTGGCCGCGGCGCGCCCGGCCACGGCAGACGGCGCAGCGGCAGCCACGGCAGCCGCGGCAGCCGCGGCGGCGGCGGTGGCGGCGGTGTCGGTGGCGGCAGCCGGAGCTCCAGCCGGAGCTCCAGCCCGGACGGCGGCGACCGGAGCGGCCAAAAACACCGCCGCGGTGGCGACGGCAGCGGCAGCAGTCGGGCCAGAACCCTCGGAGCCGACACCGACAATGACGCGGGAGGACTGCTGGAGGGAAGCAGCTACTCCGGCATGTCCGGGATGGTTGTCGTCGACCGCAACAACAACGACCGCGGCGCGTCCTCGAGAAACATCGGCGGCGCCGGGAAGAGCGCGAGTGGCCGCTCAGTGGGCGGCGGAGGCGGGCTTGGTGCCGATGGAGGTGGTAGCGGCATGGGCGGGGGGGGGCAGGAGCCCGCGGTGCAGAGGAACGGGTGCATGAAAACGTCGACGGCGTTGAAGCTGGTAAGCATATGTACGTGACGTGCGACGAATATGAATGAAGGCTGCACGTTTCTTCACGAGATGCTTGCTCTCTTGATCATACTCGGGCCACCCACTGGCGTGTGTGTAGTCGGCTGCCTCATCCTTTAGCGCGCCGTGTGACCCTCCCGTGTATGTCCATCCGTTATCTTAGCTCTGACCTTTTTGAGAATCCCCCAAGCTCAGACCTGCCGCAGGGGCATTGGATCACGTGGTATGGAGATTTGAATTTGAAGTGAAACTTGTCTTTGACGTGAAACGCTACTTCCGGCTGTGGTGGTTCGCTGCACCGCGTCGTGATTCCCATCCCTCACACCGCCTGCAGCCTTTATCTCTTTATCCTCCACCTTGACGCCCTCCGCCTGGCCCCTCGTCAAAGTTTTTGAGTGACCCCCGTCCTTTCTGTCCTTCGTTTTTTTTTTCCAACTTTCCAAACACCGCCAAAGATCACCCTGGCGATCGCGCTCCTCAACGTCGTGGCTCTGTGGGGGTGGCATTACGATACGCGGGCGGGGAGGCTGTGCTCGATCAGGTGAGCAAAACCCGTGTTATCTATCCAACCGCCCCACGGGGGGGCGCGAATGATTGTGCCATGTTTTGTTGCGCGCGCCTAGTGTGCCGCACCGGTCAGGCGTCGAGAGATCAGGGTATCGTCGACACCCACTAACCGACGGTTTGCTGTGGTTCATGCTTGGACTGGGCGACCCAATTGTCGAAAACCGGATACGTCGTAGGCCTCTATAAGGCGGGTTTTAGCGGGTACCCGCCATATGGTGGGTGAATCTCTTGGCACAGATGGAATATGCAAGACGGCGGTTAATGCACACAATAGTGCGGGTGCCCTGTACCATAGGGCGAGTGAATCGGTTGGCGCATACCCGCCTTATAGAGGGCCTACGACTGAACATGAAAAATAGTTGGCCCGCCGCGCGTGCCATGACCCACTAGAAACGACAGAGAGTCGACATCGCACGGTAGTGTCACGAGAACATCTTTTGTCGTACTTCGGTCCGAAAGGCAAGCAGGCAACTAGCTCCTCGGTACGTTATCATTCGTACGTATGCTACAATTCCTGGGCGTCGACATGCTGTGTAGCAGTTACAACAGACCACGCGGACCATTGCCGGCCGATTGCCGAGTATTGTCCCGAACCGGTCATTTCGAGACGAAACCACCCGAGGACCACCGCCAGAATTGCCACGCGAAACAACGCGTTCAGCATGTCGTCTTTCATCGCCCCGGGGATGCCCGTATCGAACATTTCCGAAGGGAGACCACCTAATAGATTTCGTATCTGCTCTCGATTGTTTTTTCTGATGGTGGCGTATGTTGTAAGACACGTTCTTCGACCATATGATGTACTTGTACAACGACCATATGGTTTACAAGGAGCAGGAGAATGTGCAACCCTCATCGCGATAAAGTTTGAAGGCTGGAATCTCCGACGGGGTTGTTCTTGTGTGACCCTGGCTTGGACGCCCGAAAATGATCACGCACAAGAAGTAAAGGTGCCCACAGGCGTCCAGTGTGGGTTGCATGAAGGAAGAACCATCGGAAGTGGCAACGCAGGGTTGCAAGAAAGCAAGCAGAGAGCGAGATTGTGGCTGTGATAGATATACTTGTAGCAATGCCAAGTGGTTGTAGGATTGTGTGGTACGTGGAATGTATTTCCAGGGTGTGCAAGGTACCCCTGTTGTATACTGCGTCGCCCCCTCATGGTGGTGCGTGCACGCGTGCGTGCAGTCCATGTCTGTCCATGTGTCCATGTGTCCATGTTCGTTCATGTGTTCATGTGAGTCCATGTTTTTCATGTGAAGAAGAAGTCTATACAACAAGCCCAGCACATCTTTCCTCCTTGGCGCGAGTTCGCCGAGTTGCCGACACCCTATTCAACACACGTCTTGCGACAAGCTACCCCCAGTTCGGATCATCCTAACACGCTAGCGTGTGATATCACACGGGATCCCGAGGTGAGGTTAGCTATAAAAGGGTTCGGCTAGAGAAGTAGATCATGGAAGCCCTCGACCTCAGCAGCTTAACTGAAGAGGACCGCCAAGCATTATCGGCGCACATCAAAGAGGAAGTGGAGAGAGGAGTACAAGAAAAAATCAAGTTTACCGAAGAGAAGCGTCCCGCATCAGAGAGCGTGGACAAGCCCCCCGATGGAGGCGATCCCCGGCATGCTCGGCCGGCTGGAACAGCGTTAGACCCGCAACCTGAAGACCAGCCACGATCGTTGGAGGACCGTCTCGTTGAGTCCTTCGCGCGGGCAATGCGGAGGACCAACACCCCGGGGGAAGAAACCAGGGAAGTCTTACCCCCTAAGGACACCATCCGTGTCAGTCCTGTATGTATTACATGTAGCCCCATTTACGGGTGTGTTTGATTCTAGTGGCGATGTCCAGGTTGGAGTACAGGTTTTTGAGAGCCAATTTCGAATGTTGTTGTAACACTGGAGATGCCGAGCAGCAACACCATCAGCATGCGCCTACTAAGGTCGTAGATCCGCTCAGGCACGTGATGATCTGCTCACCGTTTCACGTCTGAAGTGGTTTTGGTATATGCTTGCATGCTTGTCTTGGTCGATTTCGTTTGGGTGTGCTCCGATAAACCTACAGCACACCTTGTTGAGTTCTGCATACATACGCGTCATCATCAAGCACATGTTTTTCCTGAAAGGTACAGCAGTAGACCCATCAAAGGGCGTTCTTTTCTTGATAAGGTTGCCAGTGATCCACACAAAACTGCGAGGTTAAATGGATATTGAGTCACGTAAGGTTGCCAGTCACCCACAAAACTGCGAGGTTGTATGGCTACTACGCCACGTAAGGTTGCCAGTCACCCACAGAAACGGAAAGAATAGATGAGAGTGTCAGCGAATCCTAACCAAGCTGCTGCATATACCTTCTTGAGTGCTTTGAAGTTGATGGGAATATTTTGTCCCTCTTGTGTTAAAATATAGAGATTGATCTCCGACTCATTATTTTTGCGTTCACGTCGATAACGGGATATGCGAAGGCGTCATGAATCTTTGCACCCTCTACCGACAATGAGTTGCGTGTTATGAACAGGAGTCTGTTGCATGTCCAGCGGTAGGAGTGGTAGGGGGATACACTTGGAAATTTGGTCAGGGGTCTGTGTAACTGACAGGACTACATGGAAATGATCTCCATTTCGTACCAGAACACTGTATGCACGAAAGCAGCGCAGTGGTTGCACACCAGTAAGAAGAAGATGTGTTGGGTTGTTGATCAGAAACACAGCTGTGTAAGCTCTAACATGGATCCAACATTGTTGTTTGCGTGACCGAGGAATAATTAACCTTGTCAGACAAATCGCAAGAATCGTTGTGTCACTTTTACGAAAGAGGAGTAATTAACCTCAGTCGTAGATTGGCGTTCGATTTGATAGGTAACCATGATGTCGTACAGAATGCGAAAGACAACGGTCACTGCTGCGCAGAACAGGGGGCGTATTGCAAGGTATTCTCCCCAGCAGTGCCACGTGCTAAATTGACGCTTTGGGTGACTGATTTTGCCTGTGCCTTTCCCTTTCGGATGCGCAATCTCCCCTGCACTGCCGAGTCAATCCCCCCGGAGAGACAGCTGCACCCACCCCACCCAGGCGGATACGTGGCACCTGATGAAGCCTGAGCCGCGGCCATGCCAGCAGAAAAGGGTGGCCGCGGCAGAGGCGAGGGTGGCTACCGCGGGGAAGAAGCAGTGGCAGGAGGGATGGATGAAAGCGCTGGGGTTGATGGGCCGGCAAAAATACTTCGTGTGACCAATGGTGTGACTTTTCTTATTTCGTGTTCTCATTGTTTTGGCTTTGGTTTGTGGTGCTTCGGCTTTGTGTTTGGTCTTTTTGAGTAAGAAGTCGAGCCTGAACGAGTAGGATTTTATTTTCGAGGTTTTCACAGGATGTTTGGTTGTGAACAGCGATCACAACCTGAGGGAGCAGGTGGTAGAGGAGATTTTATTCTTGGAAAATTGGGATGCAGGGACTTTGAAGACCTCGAAGCAGACGTACGCTGAAGAGTTGGGGATGGAGTTTGGGGTAGAGTACGGGAAGGAAATTCCTCTTCCTGTAGGGTTGAAGCTTTCAGAGTTTGACCAGGATGAAGAAGTGGTATCAAGGCCTTTTCGTGAGCTGATAGGATCATTGATGCGGCTGGCAACGCAAACGAGGCCAGATATCGCGAACGCAGTGAGAGCGGTAGCACGGTAGTGTGCTTCTTCCAAAGAAATTCATTGGAGAGCAGGTCTTGGTATTTTGGGGTATGTGGTAAGGACTAGTGACTTGGGTATTTCATTCAGGAGGGGTAGTGTAGCAGGGTTGAGCATGGAGGTGTTCGCAGACGCAGACTATGCAAGTAAGGCTGCCGATAGGAGGTCTGTGTCAGGAGGGTTGGTGATGTGTGGGGGGGGATGTATTTCTTGGTTTTCAAGGACGCAGAAGTGCGTTACGTTAAGCACGACAGAGGCGGAGTATGTCTCTCTTGCGGATGTGATGAAGGAAGTGTTGTTTCTGAGGCAAGTATGGCGTTTCATGTTGCCGATATGCCGTGTATTCCGGTGTTCGAGGATAACCAGGGGGCTATTCAGTTGGCGCAGAACCCGATTAGCAACAGTAACTCGAAGCACATCGACGTAAGGCACCACTTTATCAGGGATTTGGTATGCAGGAAGGAGATTTCGATTTTTCACGTGGAATCGGCGTATCAACATGCTGACTTCCTCACGAAGGCACTTAACGTGGGAAATTTCGAGTTTCATCGTAACTTCGTAATGAGTATGGATTAATATTTTGATGTTTGGGTTTATTTTGTGTGTGATCAAACAACTAGGGCGGCAACATTTTGCATTTTTGCCTATGGATTTTCTCAATGGATGGTGTTCTAGGCTGGGGGGCAATTAGTTCACTGAAGCTCGAAGAAGTATATCTGATATGACCGGGGATGGGAATTGATGTCTAGCCAGTGAGGCTATTGTTCTGGAGTTGAGTTGACTTTCTGAGTTTATTTTCTTGTGTTTTGGAGTTCTTGAGGATCGAAAAAGACATGGCATGGTCACAAGCAGGGGGGCTGATAGATATACTTGTAGCAATGCCAAGTGGTTGTAGGATTGTGTGGTACGTGGAATGTATTTCCAGGGTGTGCAAGGTACCCCTGTTGTATACTGCGTCGCCCCCTCATGGTGGTGCGTGCACGCGTGCGTGCAGTCCATGTCTGTCCATGTGTCCATGTGTCCATGTTCGTTCATGTGTTCATGTGAGTCCATGTTTTTCATGTGAAGAAGAAGTCTATACAACAAGCCCAGCACATCTTTCCTCCTTGGCGCGAGTTCGCCGAGTTGCCGACACCCTATTCAACACACGTCTTGCGACAAGCTACCCCCAGTTCGGATCATCCTAACAGGCTGAGGCATTTTACGTCTGGGACTAGAGGGAGGCGATTCTGCCCCTTGCCTCCTGAGCGACGACGTGAAGTCAATGGCGGGGTGAAATGGTCGCGTAGATCTATTGCCGCCCCCCACCTCGCCAGTGATGGGTCCTGTGGGAACAACTCTCGGCCCTCTCGAGGACGCGCGACCAAGAGGACGCGTGACCAGTGTTGTAACAGCTAAGGCATGCAGAAGCTGAGTACGCCCCCCCCCCTACCCTTGTTTTCCCCCGGTTGCTGTACGTTGCCAATGCCAGGAGCCGGCGAGCGTGCGTGTCGTCCGGCCCCGAGATGGCCCTGATTTCGGTCGCGAGGCTGACAGCCGGGGCGCTGTTCCCGAGCATCTTCTTCTGCGTGCTCTCCAAGTGCTACGCCACGCGCTACCTCTTGCACCACAGCTGGCTGACCTTTATCATCGACTTCGAGCCTTCGCACAAGCTCCACACCTGTGAGTTTTTTGTTTGGAGGGCGCGTGCCCTCGATGCTTCCGCCGTTTTCGGCGTGTTTACAGCCCTGCGCCTTTGTAATCGGTCTCTCGCTCGCTCAAGGGTTGTCGCGAACCTCTCGGTAAGTTTCGTGGAAATTTCTTGGTGGTTGTGGTAGCGCTCGGTTCCGTTCGTGTCGGGGTTGGGGTTGTGGCGGCGGCGACAGTCTTTGGTTTTGGTAAGTAGGGCAAGGGGTGACGCGTTGTGATTCAGGTATAGGGCACAGACGGTGTTTCGCTGACCACTTTGGAGCATGTTCACGTCCAAAGCAGCTCCATTGTTCAACGAGTTTCTCGTGTCACAAGAACACAGGAAGGCATACCAGTAGGTTATCCAATCTTTTGGGGTTGTGTTTTTCCCATTCTCTAACCCTCTGTCTGCCTGTCTGCCTGTCTGTTTATCTCTCTCTCGCTCGTTCTCTCTCTCTTTCTCTTTGTCGACAGACTTCGGAGTGCTGATTCTGCTCTGCAGTGTCGTCCACAGCGTGTGTCACATCGCGGTCGGCGCCCTGCAACGCCGCGCGGACCACGCCTTCAAAGACGAGATAAACCGCTCGGGCCTGGTGGCTGTGCTGCTGCTCTTGCCGATAGCCCTGCCCATGACCATGCGGTTGGCTAAAACAAAAGTGAGAAGTCGTTTTTCGTGCTGTCTTTGCTCTCTTTCGCGGATATCTCCCGGTATCGTCTTGGTTTCCGAGCGTTGTGACACCCCAGGTCCCGCAAGAGGTTTACAGATCTGTGGCTCTAACCGGCTTTTCGCTGCCCCGTGTTGTCCCCGTTGTTTCGCACGTGATAACGAAACACCCCAGCTCACGTTCGAGGCGAGGAAGTACCTGCACCTGCTGTTCATCCCGTTCATGATTGCCGTCTGCTTCCACGGGAGGGCGCTCCAGATCCTGGGCGCCATCCTCCTCGCGTGGTACCTGCTGGACCGCTTGTACTTCACTACCAAGATGTCAGTGTCGCCGCCTTAGGCACGTGTTCTAGTCCCTTTTCTTTGACTGGTGATTGGTTGCGCTCCTTCTAGCCGTCATTTTTTTTATTTTATTTTTCGAGGAAGCCATGCGCCTGGTCACGGGTGAAGAAGTAGTGGCGTCCCCGGTGTGTGTGTGTGTGTGTGTGTGTGTGTGTTTTTTTCGACGGGTTTCCGATGACACACCATGTTGGGGTCGTCCGCCGGCCTGTCCTTGAGGTGACGTGACGCTTGTTGGCGTCGGTGTACCGACAGTTCATGAGCGTCTTCCTTCGTAGATCCGTCTACGCACTCCAGCTTCTACCAACCCCCCCCCCCCCCCCAAATGGGGG